TTCCTACTTCAGATGTGTTCTAGATATTATAAACAATTTAACATTATGAAGTAAATAAATATAAATTGAGGTGGCTTACCTGATCTCAATCACTCCTGTCTCATAGATTACTACCAATCCATAAACCTTTTCAGATTTCCTGAAAACTGCAGTCCAACAGCAGGGCTTTAAAAGTTTGACATTACACATAGGTTTATTTTCTCCCTGATAAACCATATAATTTTAGTTAATACAAAAGAGAGAGAGAGAGAGAGCGAGAGAGAGAGAGAGAGAATGAGAAACAAGAAACTTACACGGACCACAGACTTGGCTGGGTATATTCGCAGTGAATCTTTACAACAAAGCAAGACATATAACTCCTTCAAACTCTGTACACGGAAATTTTTATTTTTATCCAAAGTGTGGTCGCCAGTTTCACATTTTTCACTATCTTGAGCTTCATTTTGAGAAAGTTCATTTCTTATGGTATCATCATTTAGCTGCTGCGGTTGTTTATCATCAGAATTGGGACCTTCCGGATTACTTTCTGAAGCATAAAACCAATTAGAAAGGCATACAATCGAGAGAGAAAGAGAATAATCACCATTTGGAAGAAATACCTGCCTATAACATACAATGAAACAGCTGTTGACTTCTTCAACTGTATAGGCTTGGAGCTAATCATGCTACCATTATTACTGTTGATAACGTATATACTTGCGCCTTTGGTTAATAAAAATATGCATTCTTCTGTACAGCAATGTGGAACTTTTGGTGCAGAATCATTGGTGTGTTTAGCTGCTTCATAAACAATGGCTTTACAGAATATCGATATCACTGGAGAATTGTGGATGGATTCGGTCATAAATGCAACAGATAACAAATGCACATCTATCACTACCACCTGAAACAAATAGGCACAAACCATAATAGCAATAATCAAAGGTAAAACGAAAAAGAATAGTTCATTTGAACACAACCTGAGATAGGCAATTAAAAAATCACAATTATGTTACTCACTCGAGAGCATTCATATCCAACGATAAGTTTGGAGCCATCGTCTGTGAATTTCAATGAACGGACTCCTGATTTGTCAAGGTTGAATACAGCTTCACATCTAGGTCCTTGGACTTGGGCATAATTGTGAACTGCATAAAAAAAAAAAAGAATAGAATCAAACTGATACCTGATGACAAAATTATGGTGGAGTCTTGAGGATTATGGTGGAAACCTTAAAACTACTGGACCTTAAGCTATATTAATATTGTTAAAAAATGAAAAACAAATGCAATTAATACAGAACGTGCAACTCCGGGGACTGTGTCAAGAAAGATTCAACCGATACTTGAGCATTATTCTTGCTTGTGACAAAGTAAGTATATAAATAGCAAATAGAGGGTCCACCGTTGTTTTCAGAACATTTATTCACTGACCAATATTGACTTAATCAAGGACAGCACATGAGCCATTGGGCCAGCCATGTGTGATAACAGTTGAATCACCTTCAGTTTCAGTTTCTGAAACAAAAAGAAGTCTTGTTTCACCACTGCTACAAAGGTTGTAAATTCGGACCTGCACAAGAACAAAACCAAGATAAAGACCAATTAAAACAATGAAACCATCTTTTGTTGCTTACTGTCCAAAAATTAAGAAAAAATTCTAACCATGCCGCATTCACTGCCAACAGCTAATCTCAAAGTGGCGGGGGATAAATCAAGGACGGTCAATGAGGCACCAGCATTTTCACTGTTAAACTGTCAATCAGTCACAAGCAGAAACTTACATTATGTGTTAACAGATGAACTTTGATTATACAAGATAAGACTTTTTTTTTATCTTCGAACTTTTTATCCCAACGAACTCAGTTAAAACTTTAACCTCGTTTTTCAAAACACTGAGGAGTGAGAAAACAGGATACGTCGCATCCCAGATTCGAACAGATCCATCCTGATAGCCTGCTACATATAACATCTGGGCTTTGTCATCTTCAGTAGAAGATACACGGTTAATTACACCCCCATTTAAGGGCCACTTTTTATTCCCAGGCAGCATCAAAGCTGAATTCATTACACTCATCTGATCAGACATAGAAGTAGACAAATCAGTAGGTAAAGATTTAGGCAAATTAAAAACGTATATAAAAATTATATTACCTTGGATCCTACATTCTCAATGCTTCTATACATATCAAAAATCTCAGCCACAGTCATCAAAGGATCAGCAGTCGGTATACATGAAGGAAAATTTAAAGGAGAGATGGTTTCTTCTGACAAAGACAGACTGCCTGTATCGTAAATATGTATACGACCAGGGTTCATCAATACAAACAGAGATGCATCTATATCATTCCCAGCTGTACCAGCAGAAGGTATCAAAATCATATCAGCAAAAGATCCAGTAAGAGCGAGGTCCACACGACCTTTGCATTTTACTGATTCCATTCTAGGTGACCACTCAAGATTCAGAACCTGCCCAGAAAAGAACTTTTGAGAACAGTACTACTGTCTAGGTGTTGATCTGTTTATAACTCTATCAAATAAGATTGTTATATCAATATCCCAGAACTAATCGGTATCACACATCAAGTTATTGTATTGTCCCTGTACAGATTAGTGTGTGAGCAAAAGAAAAATACATATACATCTGAAAAAATGCTTGGATTACATTCATTTCCTAATATAAAGATCCTTATTTTAAACCAAATATCTAGAAAATTATTCTTTTCGTCTACTCTTCCAAGAAAATATTAATCGGACATCAATGTAATGGAGATGGACAAATAGGATAAATTTAGTTTCAAAGTGATGGCCCGAGAATTTATTTGATACTCACTGTAACAACTTCTTCGCATCCTATCTCATCACCACCATATACGAGAAGTTGACTTTCTTGACTGTTACGGGATTTGCTGTGGTCTAACCAATGCAAAACAACGACAGGGAGCCTCTTCTCGGCAGAGGACAACTGTAGCTTGACAACATTCGGTGGCATACCAGCTTCCCGATTTTTCATATAAGAATCTTTTGATGTATTCCAAAATAAAATATCCCCATCTACATACCCAACTGCAATGCTAGATCCATCAGTAGATGCCCAACACAGAGCACTGATCTCTTTCTCTTCAAATTCATGGGAAGGTGAATCATCTACAGAATTGGAATCTATATCATTTGGGTGAATAACTGTGTCTTTCAATTGGAGGGCCTTGTCACCTCGAACAACAACTACATGTGCTTCTACCACATCCCAGAGAATGATTACCCCACTAGCATAAGCAATCAATAACCTGTCAATGCAGATATATTTTTGTTACAGCCCACCTATATCTAGATATAAGTACGGTAAATTTCTACTCAAAGTTGAAGTCTCCCCATCCCACTTTTATAGCCACATCACATGTTAAAAAAATTCAGTCTAGTATGCAAGCCTTGGTTCCGAGTATAATAAGAATATAAAACAATGAACAAAGCAAGACCAAGTCCAACTAGATCTAGCAATGTTTATGGCTATGGTTAAAAACTTCAAAAGGCAACTTCAATTGAAAAATCACATGCAAATTCACTTGTGAGGAAACAGTTGTAATTTCCTCCATACATCTCCCGTCAAATACTTTTCAATACACGCATTGCACTTGGAAGCAACTGCCTATTCTGCTCAAAAATAAAAACAAAACAAAAAACTAATATTGATAAAAGTAAACTGCTGTTCAAGATACTGATAAAAGCTAAGACGGATATGATCTTGCCTATTTCCAGAAGACAAAGGCTGAGGAAGAAGTCCAACTACAGGTTGCTGATTCGTGAATGAGATTCCAGCTGCTTCTGTAAAATAAGCGCGACAAATTCTGTCTTGAATAGACATGTATGGAAAATATAATATAGTATAAACATGACATGGAAGCTAAGGCTTGTTTAACTAAGAGTACTTCGTGAGGGAAGTTATACGATATCATATTGAAAGATTTTATATGAGATGAACTTAAACAAATAAGTAATCAATAGATTTTTAAATCATAAACGTACTAACTACTCACCATGTGGTATCCCCTGATAAAGCTAAACAATATGTACTCCGATATGTAGAGAAATTATTTTGTTCTTTTTGTGGAATAAAAGATTATAATGTGACATAAATTATGCCCAATACAAGTGTCAGTGTAGAAGAGTTCTTCAAATGACAGCCCTCATTATACTCGAATTGGTCAAAGATTCTATTATAACACTAGCACGTAAACAATGGTTGCAGCCCACACTACAAAGGACTATAGGAGTTTAGACCTGATTAAACAGAAATTTGGAAAAAAAAAAATAATAAAATTTTTTTAAGCCATTGCCTCACTTCAATACTAACTGTTACTCGTCACAGGCCTCACCAGCAAGAGAATCTGGAGTTACTCGATAACCACTTTGCAGAAGCTGTCCACTGTCCAGATCGTACTTCAGGACAGATATCAATCCATATTCATCACCAACATAACTGGGATAGTAGAAAACAACACTCGAGTGTTATACAAGTAACACCAACCCCATTGTAGTGTGCTGCAATAAGCAGTAAATATTTACGTTCTAATGGGTGTCATACATAAAAGACGAGCCGCTGATTACAGAGAACGCGGTTATGTTAGACTCCCACTGTAAGCTACAAGCTATTGACCTCCTCTGCAGATCCCAAACCTGGAAAGAAAAGAAATACCATTAGTTAGCCACTTATGTGGAAAGTATACTGGTTAAACTTTGATTCTGAAACTTCCTATAGGAAACATAAGCACCACAAATTTTATCTACAAAAAATTGTTAAAGTTGAGTCGTTGCCAGACAACAGAAACATCTAAGAGCTGATTTAATTTTGCATATCAAGGTTGTATTATAAAAATGAATTAACTCTAGGCTCATCTTCTGAAAATAATATTCCTCGTTCTTTTCTTTTTCTTTCGTTTTATTATTATTATTATTATTATTATTATTATTATTATTATTATTATTATTATTNTATCAAAGACAGTAAATAGCATACAGAAAATTCCAATTAAAAACCTTGAGATTAAATAAGGGAAACAAGGAGTTTAAATCTACTAGCAGTAGTAGATTAAATGCGCAGTACGCCGTGCACTGAAGCATTTCATAATTGACCCAAAAAAAAATATATATATAAGAGAATTATAGACACCTGAATATCATTGTCAATTGTGATGCTAACTAAGAAACCGTGATTCTGCAGAAACTGCAAAAAGAAGAAAAACGAAAAAATTAGAAGCAGAAATGGTGATACTAAAAAATACTCTGTGCCTAATACATAATTTGCTATCAAATTAACCATGCTGCTAAAGAGAAACTACCAGCTCTCCCCTTTTCCTTCATTCTCTCCCAGTACACCTTCAGGGTTCTATTTGATTCAGATGGGGGAAAATCCCAATCTGATGAACAATTTCCAAATCTCATAGCAGTTCACTTGTCAAAATTGTTTAATTATACAACATGGAAAGTGTAAAAAAAACTAGCAACAAAAAAATCCTCGGAGAAGGTGAAATTTTGGACTTTCAGCAGTTTAAGAGAAAAATCCAGGACTGGCTCAAAGAAATGGAAATGAGAAGGATCATAGATGGGCAATTTGCCACTGAGAAAGTGGAATTGCTACCAATATGATTTAAGACAATAACAGATATGTGTATAGATAACAGACCTCCAAGTATTTGTAAGGCGAAAGCTTTGGTGAAATCAGAAGCCCTTCAATATTGTCACCACCAATTACTTTAATCCTACCATCCCTGCGTACAAATGGTGTATTGGTAGTAAAAGGCTCAACATCAAGAAATGATTATTTGCATTTATCCACCACACTACTTAGACTGTATAACATAACATATTCCAAATAAATACAATGGAATCCTAATGGTAATGATCAAGTTCTGTGGATCTCATTATGATAAAAACAGAGGTCAAGGCTCCATTTATGATACAAAAAGTGGAGAAGACACACACACACACACACACACACATCTATATATAGAGAGAGAGAAAGATAAAAATTGGATTCAAAGTAATGATACAACTAAAAAAACATGGCAACATGATCTTAACTGCACAAGCTAAACTAGAATGAACAAATAATTTGCACACTTCCACACAAACTTTCAAGGTAACCTTCTTATATTCCTTGGGACTTTTCCTGCACTATTTACGCATCACTAAACTTTCTGGGCAAAATTCTACACGCCTTCAGCTCAAATATGAAGTCAACATATCAAATGACAATCTTGAAGTAAATGCATTTGAATACTTGGGAAATTTGCAAAAAATGTCACCTTCACTTTGTGCTCACAAAAATTTAACCTTTGCCAGATAATAGCAGTCATTCTTGGTCCTTGCTATGACCGTGAAAGACAAAGGTAACCTTTTTACAAGCACAAAGAAAAAAGGTGGCATTTTTACGAATTTCCCTACTTACTATAAGCCAGGTACAACATTACACAACTCTGAAATAGTTCGCCGGACAAGTCAACATGTGCAAAGATTGAATCTTGAATTTCAAGAAAGGTATATTGTAGCCTTACAATGTGCCAATCGCCAGCAGGCGCTGTATCTGATCACAAGCAACAATCGACGCCGTGGAAGGAATCCCATAGTGCACATCGATCCGGACATTCACGTCATCCGACGTCAATAAACCCTTTTCTTGGAACTAAAACAGGACAAATGGAAAAAGCGAATTGTTGCATCAAATTCGATTCGCCAAAATTTCGATTGAATGACGTGAGTAGGAAATTGAATGTTTGGTACCTGATGACGACGGACGGCCTTCTGAAACAAACGTCTCGTGAACATGGCGATTGTTATAACTCTTTAGTTACCAAAAAATGGGTGTCAGGGTATCTATGCAGCTGATCCCATTGTGTGATTTCCTGTTTGTTTCGAATAAGTTGGGGAATTTCGCGGTTTGTGTTCAGCTATTTTCCATTTTTTGCAGACTTTAATGTACTTCCCAAGTTCCATTCCACCATCCCTCAAGTCAAGTAGTCAAATCACATTATCAAAAATTTGGCAAAATGTCACGACTTAAAACTTCGTTTGTAAAAAATATATCACCTTTTGAGTTTTAATTGTGATAACATTTTTTTTTTTTTATAAAAATACATATTTACATTATAAAATATTATATTCTTATTTATATTATTTTTTAAAATATAATATTTTAATTTAAAGATAATAAAAATATATTGTTCTGAGCCTCGACTAGATTTTTCACAAGCACGAAGAGTATTATCTTTGTAAATTTCCCTTGTTTGAATGATCTTCAAGATAATTTATACTACTTTAAACAAATAATTTAAAATGCTATATTTCATTTTTTATTATTCATTTTAGAGGTTTTGTTAAATACCATTTTTTTCTATTTTTTCTTGTGATAAATTCACTTTCGATTCTGATTTGATCCTTTGAAGAATAAGATGAAACAAATTATGAAACTTATAATTTAAGGGTGACCTGGCCCGAACTGAACCGCTTTGGAGGCCGGCCCGGCATGCAGCTTGAAGAGAGTTGAAGAGGTCCGCAAGTAAATGGGCCTGAACTAACACAGTCAGCATAGTCCAAACCCATATTTATGGGTTGGTGAGTTTATCCAGAAAATTGGCCCATTTAAAGACAACACCACGTTATAGAGACCGTAGTACAGAAATATTGGAAAGTCATCAGAATGAAGTGCAAACACGAGCTCATAATCATCAAGATTCAAACATGTTTATTACAAAAGCTCATAATCTTCAAGATTCAAACAAGTTTAAGGTTAAAATATTTTTACAAAAAGGTCGTTGCTCAAGTTGTTGGGGATTAGTAATTTTCCAATTGATCCTAGTCTGCAAGCTCAAAACAATTAGCAGATGCACACTTCGGGCTATTTGCAGCTATATACACAATTACACAAACTTGCACATTTTAATCAGCTCACACATGTTAATCACTATGAAATATGTTTAAAAATATAGTTATCTAACGGTGAATATGTATAACACATATTTTTTCTTTTTAATCATGCCTATAATATTTTATATATATATATATATATATATATACTGGGAGGAAATTGGTGATCATTTTAGTATATTAGAGAACCTAGCTAGTTCTACAATTTATTAGCACAAATACTAGGGAGTTAATTGTGCCAACCATCTAATTACTCAACTTTCAGAGACAATTGATCCATAAATTCAAAAAGTCTATAGAGTTTAAGCTTGTGTATAATTATCAACAACTAGTTTCAACCACTCGAGTCACTTTGTGGGCAACTTTGCGTCAAGTCGCCTTCATATGCTCACCTAATATGATTATTAATTATAGATTTATGACCCATTGATTTTGTACTCACTATGAGTAATTACAATTTTCTCCCATTTTGTATTCATTGGGTGTGTGTTTGTGTTTTTTCAAAGAAAAAGTACCACGAATCTATGAACTAGTTTGTCAATTTTTTTTTCTTTTTTCGAAACGATAAGTTTTATAGATAAACAAATAATTACAACTAGAAATCTACTAGAATGAGCCACCGAATCTAGTGAGAGCCCTACACGTAGACCCTAGAACTACTCTAACTCACTCACTGAACACACAGACTAACTAGAAGCTCCTACGTAGGAGTAGAGATGTTAAATGGTCCTTGGCCCGACGGGCCGGCCCGTTTAGCCCGGAAAAAAAGAGGATTAGGTCCTTTTGTTAGTGGCCCATTTAAATTAGGGCTTTTTAGGCTCGGACCGTTTAGCCCGAAGCCCGCTAGGGCTAACCCGGAACCCGTTAGGGCTGGCCCGTTTAATTAGGGTTGGGCGGTGTAAATATTTGCATCAAGTAAGTGATATGCTCTTAAATTCCTTGTATATTACAATTTTGATATTCCACTTCACATGTAAGTACGAGTTGTAATTGATTATTATGATATTGAAAGATAATTATTAACAATATTGTTATTGTACTTCATACCAAAATATTTAAACCAATCAGAACGACTAATATGAAATACATGAAACATAGTGATAGACGATAATTCTAAATAGCCGTTGAAAATAATTTTTAACTAGCCGTTGTTATTTTTTTTGTATTTTTTACTCTTTTTATTTTTTATTTTTTTTATATATTATTATTATTATTATTATTATTATTATTATTATTATTATTATTATTATTATAGCCATAGCCCGCATAGCCCGTTTAGCCCGAAGCCCGCTAGGGTTAGGGTTAGATCCTTTTTTTGGTAGCCCGTTTAAATCCGAGCTTTTTAGGCCCGGACCGTTTAACCCGAAGCCCGCTAGGACTAGCCCGAAACCGCTAGGGCTAGCCCGTTTAACATCTCTACGTAGGAGAATACAAGCTTCCACAAAGAAGAATAAATCAACATAGGAGAATCAAGCTTCCAAAAAGAAGAAACAACCCAAAACCAACAAATCTACTAAACAAAACACACAAATAACACACAAACACTAGATAAATTAGAATAATGCCCTCCTCCAACCGGCACACATTCAGCTACGCAAACGATGGCCCGACACCTGAGGACGACCCGCCAAAAGGAAAGAAATCCAGCCCGAAAGAAGAACCCAAAAACTCCTGCAAGAGGCTAGCTGGACCCGTCTTCTGACCGAACTCCTTACCCTAACAGGCCACTCCGAGCACAGCAACCGGAGCATCGCCCCCTAACCCCACAGACCCAAGCCAGCCACAACCCAACCGCAACTCACGCTGTCCAATCCGCCCTACAAAAACCTGCACAGGGGAAAGCGGAGAAGAAGGAAAAGGGGGCCACACCCAACCCCGACCAACTCAACGGAGAAGGCTGAAGCCAGCCGAACTCCCGCGACTCGAGAGCTGCCGAAACCTCCATCAACTCATAGACAACCGGCGGGGCCGCGAATCTCTACAACGAGGAGGGTCGTCGACTTCGAACGGGGAGCTCCGCTCGGTCTGGTCGGCGCCGAAGCGCCTCTGAAGGCCCAGGAGAAGGTCGCGGCGACGGAAATTAGGTTTTGGAAGGGAAAAGGGGATTTTTTTTCTTTTCGGGGAAGAGAGAGATTTTATTCTATGAACTAGTTAACAAATGGATTCATAACATATGGATGCTTAGAATTGATAGAACGGCAAGAAACCAAACATATTCAAATTAGAAATAACTTAGGTAACATCTAGAGTGGTCGGAAACGTTGATGTTAGGCAGGCCTAAACGTTATAATTTTATTTTTTAAAATAAATATTCATACTTTCATACGTATATGACATGTTACAAATTGGGTGTTGATTACAGCTAAAAATCTATGAACTAAAGCTGGTGTTTTTAGTTCTTATAATTTGAACAATAAAACAGAATACAAAAAGTACGAGTGTTGCGCTTTCCGCAAGACGAATATGCTCCGTAATATGCTGACGGGTACAACGGCTGATGTCTCGAAGATAGCAGCACAACTACTTTCGAGCTCCAATGAACATGAATGGAGTCGATAATTGAACAGTAGGTATTGCATGAGGCTATGAGAGAGTGCAAGAATGCAGATGAGATTGTAAGTATCATCTGCAGCTCTATACCATGTTCTATTTATAGAACTTCTAAGACAAGTGGGAGACCTCTGGTGTTCAACGTGTAAGAGCCCAACCAATAACTGCCAACTGATGGTTGTTGCAAATAGACAAACCGTTGTAACGTTTTCAGGTGTTAACTGTTAACTCACCTTCAGTCCACCTGATAACAACCAAAACTGTCAGGTGGAAGGTCACATGTCCAGGTTCAGTGAACCTAGTAAAGGTCACATCTGTTGGGTCAAAACTTGAGTCCAAATCTAACTTGATTTGGATTTTAATTTGGGCCACAAATTTAGAAATAAAATTGCAACAAAAAGATATATAGTGGTTGGGCCCAAGGCCAAAGGCCAATAGTGGCCCAGATCGTCCAAGGCTGCCCAAGTCCAGCCCATAGTCCAATTGCCAAGGACCTAGGACCAAGTCGCAAGTCCCAAATCCCATAACCAGGCCCGAGTTCGAGCCCGAGCTGAGTCAACCAGCCGACCAGCGGCCGCGCGCGCACGTGTGTGGCTGAATCCAACATCAACACTTGGTACATACTTTGTTGTTGTTGTTGTGATCTCTCTAACTCTTTTTATTATAATAAAGAGACTTAATCTCATTTAAGAGTCCAATGTGGGAAAAGACTATTGACCTTTTGATGGGTGTCGAAACCAACAATAATAAATACTTACTCGTCTAAAATATAAAATTGTAGTAGAAATGAGTAGGGTCGTGTCCACAAAGATTGGATGAAATGAGTCCATGCAACTATTTCATGAAGGAATAATAAATAAAGAAAAAGATGGGAGGTTTTGAGGATTTTATCTAACTAAATAAAATAAAATCTTACTAGAGACGAAAACAAAATGAGTGATTAAAAATAGAGAAAATATCCAACTATAGGGAAAAACTCGTAGAAATGATTCAACGATTTGATCATGGATGCAAAGATAATTCTCCTACTCTCGATTAAATTGGTTATGGTTATTGGTACTGAATAAGATTTCACTCAGGCTCCTTCAACTCGGACGGCCTCCGTACCTGCAAGAACCCAACGTCGGGAGGGGTCCCGACGTCGGGCCTCTGACGCTTAAGTCAGAATCACTCCAAAACTCCAAATCCCAAGTGTATAGTAATGAATGTAGAGAGAGTGAGTGAATGAGATACCTTAGCCTCCTTTTATAGGGGGGGTGTACCTTAGGGCCCAAGTTGGGCTTGTCCAATAGCATCATGCCACGTGTCTAGGCCATGTGTAGGCTTATTCTTCATTATATTCCCTTTTTATCCATTAAACCCGGTCTAGTATAATATCCTATATCAGGTACGACCTAACAACCTATCCTTCCTTACTTGTTCGATAATCAGGATACGATCTCTAATTATTTCTCTAATCAACAGACAACCCTAGATACGACCATAGAATTTAATCTCTTAACAACATTAAAATATAGAAGGATCATCAATTCTAGCCAACG